AAAAAAAAAAACTGTTACTGTTTAAATGGCTTTGGACAGAAAGGCAGAAACTGAGAAGTCCAGAATTTAGAAAATCCGACTCGGAACCAAAACAAACTCAGAAGTAGCAACTTCTGAGCACAAGCATCAGGCTGACTTAAGAACGTTAGCTTTACACAGCTAGAGTCAGTTTTCTTGGCAAAGGTAAATAATAATAATAGTGTTGTTTTATGCTAAGTGACATTAGCCAAAAGAACATAAATACCCTGGAACTGAAAAATATGATGAATATGTCCTTCTCTCTGCTGGCATCTTTTGGTAACTACAATAAAGATCTACTTAGATGGAGCTTTTGATTCCAAATTTCATGGAAGAATTGTTTTCATTACTAAGCTTCTGGAAATGAGACTCAGCAGCAGGGTTAATCACGGGTCAGACACTGACGCCCTGGGAGAGCCTGGGTTCACCTGTGGATCTCCGTCCAACTGCTTCTGGTTCCACAGTCTTCACACTTTGAAAGACAGTTGAGCGACCAGTATGTATTAATAATTCAGTTTCCCTTTTTCCTCAAAGACCGACACCATCGCCAATCAGAGCTCCTGGTCACTACGAGAGCCATGCAGACAGACTGAACTGGTGTCACACCAGCCAAAAGAGTCGTATAAATTGATTAGGTTCTATAAAACGTGGAAACAAGCTTGCAGACCCCACTCCTAGCTTCATGGTCCCCCAAGGGATCGGGAGGACCCCAAGAGGGGAACAACTTCTTTTGCTGCTCAAATTGTAAATTCCAAATTTGGGTTGCTGCTGGCCTGCCTGGTAGCCATCAGGGGCGAATCTGAGACTGCTTCGCAGAGCCCCCGAGAGCCGCCCACTGATGATATGCGATGCACAGCTCCAATTGGCAAACATAGTATAATAGTTCCTAACGCAGCGCTCAGAATGGAAAACACACAGCATCGGAGTGGTTTGGGTGGGCTGCCTCACTCTGCTTCTCAGGCATGGAGTTTATCACCATCCCTCTGGGCCTTCTTTGTAAATTCTTCAATCATACTTGTTGATGAAGCCTCCCCCTCCCCCACCCCACCTTCCTTGTATCTCCTTGGGCTCATGCATATGAGGTCAACTCTGGCCTTTGACACCTGTTAGAGCTACGTTACAGCCTGGATCGTGTCCTCCCTCCCAAATCCACTTGTTCGAGTGCTAACCCCCGGTTCCCCCCAACGTGACTATTTTGAGACAGGGTCTTAACTGAGAAAATTAAGTTAAAATGAGGTCGTATAGGTGGGCCCCAATCTGATATGAAGAGGACACATGCGTCCTTATAAGAAGAGGAGATGAGACCCAGACAATAAGAGGAAGGACCTGGTGAGTGAGTACACGGGGAGAAGGCAGCCGTCTGCACACGGAGGAGAGGGGCCTCAGAAGGAAGCAGCCCTGCCCCCACCTTGATCTCGGACTTCCAGCCTGGAGGACTGTGAATCAATAAATCTGTACTGTTTAAGCCGCCTGGTCTGTTACTTTGTTATGCCAACCCTAGTGAATGAATAGACCCTAGGAAGCAGACAGCACATGAAACACCACTCAGGTATAAAAAATATAAACCGACAGACAGGTTTCCTTATTCAAAGTTGGATACCTGCTGGTCTAAGGCGATGAACAGGATGTTTGGTATAATCTGAGAGGCAGTGGAGAAAATTCTACCAGGAACTATGGTTTTATTTGCATATACAAATTAAGTTGCAAATATCCCCAGAAAATTGCGGATAGGACTCTGTTACTAGCAGCCTCATGGGGTTCTATGGAAGCCGTGAATGAGGTCTTCTGCTGACATCTGGCTGAGATCAACCAGGCCTTGAGGAACGGGGGCTGTCATGGGGTCGGGAGCTCGGGGGAGAAGGAAAAGACGGAATTGACTGTGAAAACTGGGCAGGGAGCCACGTGTCCAAGAAAGAGAAGCCCCGGACGACGGGGAGAGGCTGAGCCCTCCCTGGGGCCAAACGCACATCCCAGGCCCGGGGCAGGATCTGCAGTTCTGCCTGCTTCTCAGATGCCCACAGTGAGCACCCAGCCTCCAGTTGGAGCTTCCCCTCTCTCAGGAGGCAGAGAGCAGGTGGTTTAAGTGTCTGTGTGCCTCCCAGGGAAGGAGGCCCAGAGCTGGCCTCCTTGTCACCTCCCTCCTTGCTATGGTAAACAGCATCCCAAGCAGGACCCTACTGGACCACAGCCTCCATATCAATTACGTCTGCTTCAGAGAAGAGCAAAGCGCTTCAGACAGCAAATGCTTCCCTGTTCCATTCTCCATGCGCGCTGCTATGCAAACCACAGATTCGGTGGCTCTCTCCCGGAGGCCCAGAAGAGTCCGAGCAGCCAGGTGAACACTGGTTGTGCCCTGGCACTCAGCACCAGGATTCTGCACGACTGCAACCCACAGACCGTGCCACCCCCCCACCCCCCGCCACCGGCCCCAGGCTCCCCGCCGACCGTATGCCCGCCCTTCTAGGTCATCCTTCTGACACCCCCAACAAAGTGCTGCATCCTTCCTCGGACAGGAAGGAAACAAAACCACGGACACGAAATGACTTGCACAAAGCCACAGTGACTTAGGGAAATGCCTAGAATTTTCCTGAAGGTAAGAGAAACGAAGGAGCAGGATACGTACGACGTATGGCACTGAAATCATTACAAAGCTGTACATATCACGGGAGCAAGCACATAATCAAACATTTGCAGCAGCTGGGTAACATTCATGCACGTGTACATCCTAGCAGCCGGTCAGGATTGGATGAAAGTTAAAAATGAAGTGTCACTTGAAGATGAAAGATGCACTTAATACTCTAAAAATAGGTTCACTACTATCTTAATTCTTCCCAGGATGATAATCCTTCCAATCTCCCGTTTGTTGCTCTAACATCTGCCGTCTCTGGAGTCTGAAACACAGTCTACTTACTGACCACCAGTTTTTGAAAACAGGAATCAGATAACAGCTCCCCCATCCCTGCACACAAAGACAGCTTCTTGGCAGCTCGCACTTGGCGGTGAGTTATGAAAACAGAAGTTTGAATTCTCCCTTCCCTCTGCCATCTCAGGTCGATGAACGGCCACCTGGTGATGTGTTCTGACTTTTTAGATCAAAACGGCAATAATTCCTCAGCCGACTTCACCAGACTCTTTTAAAAAATGACTATAAAACTACATACAGTGTAAACCATAAACGTGATTAGTTAAAAACTAACGGCTTGCATTTGTACTCCCAACTCCTAGATTTTCTTTCGAGCCTAAAACTCAAGAGATTTAGTTCGTTGGGCCCATGCCTACAGCCTTGCCCCAGGCCAACAGGGAAGGTCCCGCCTCTGGGTTTTGCCAGGACTTTGCCTCCACACCGAAACACCTGGAGAGGCAGATGTTTCCCACTAGTCAGCATTTTGAGGACAGCGTTCCTACCTCACTCATGGCATATGTTCAGGGCCTGGTTCGTAAGGGTTTCTCAACAAATTTGTCTTTCTTTCTCCAAAGGGCTGGAGTGAACAGCTGTGCTAACCGGGCGGGCCTGGAGATGCACTCCGGGCATCAGGCTGGGAAACTGCAACGAGCCTTAGCTGGCCCCTTAGCTTGCAGATGAGGAAAAAGAACCCCAGAGGGGACAGGCGCTTTGTGGCTATCATGCACCTGGTTAATGGCAAGGCTAACAGGGACACCCATGTTCCCTGACTCTAAATCCCAGCATTGTTTCTATACTTTGTACCTTATCTCCAGATCCGTCCTTCCCGGCTTTCCAGTTCTACAACCCTGAAAACTTATTCCTGAAATTCATTCGGTGCCCTCACATCCTGGGCATATCCTGAATGTGCAGATCTCAGAGGCTGGGTTCTGGGGGACTCCTGCCTTCTCTGCTCAGCTTGGGGGGCTGCAGGCCCCAGGATGCCCCCTTCTGCCCAGGAAACCTCCCATGTGCAAAAGCAAGGCCATGTCCAGCAGGCCATAGATTGAGCTTCCTTTCTGGGGGTGGGGGGGTCCGGATGGAGAGCTGTGCATTTCTGTCCAGGCCACCAGTGAGAGGCCGGGCTGTCAGAGCTCCCCAAGGGGCCAGCACATGCAGGGGGGCCCAGTATCTCCATCCAAACCTGTGCCCCAGTGGGGCTGGGCTTTTGTTTCACACAGAATGTAGGGGGAAAGTGGGCACTGGGGAGTACAACCCGCTTGGCCTGGCACAGGAGTCTGCTTAACAGCTACCTTGCCTTCACCACGTTATTTAAAGATTCTGTGCCTCAGTTTCCTCTTTTCCATCAACTGCAGATCACAAGTAATAATCTCTCTCATGGCATGATATGAGGTTTAACTAAGGTAATGCACGTGGAAAATGCAGCCTCAAGCCGGCCACACGGTAGGTATTCGGGGGATGGCCAGCACTATGAATATCGTTACTAGTCCTCACCTAAAACAAAACAATTTTTAACCATAAACTAGGCTTCTTGTTCTTGCCCTCCACTATGTGTGTTGGCATCCAATGAGCAAGCATTTTCTTTGCCTTTTCATTTTTTAGAACATTTGCATGATACCCCACCAAGTAATCTAGGGAAATGGCTTATTTATATGACTAGTCTTCCTTAATTAGCCATTAGCTGAAGGATATATCCCAAATGGCACGGCAAATTACCCTGTGTTTGAAAACAGGTTGAGCATTTCAGCGTCAACACTTTTAAATTAAGAGCAGTGGATTAACATTAACGGTACAGCCAGTAAGAGCTCGGGCTGTCCCTTCCCGGCCTCGGGCCTCACCCACTCCGTACCCTTTTAAGGCGAAGAGCCGAAGACCGAAGGAATGAATGGAACGGCCACATTGCTTTAGAGATTACCTCCGCACTGAAAGGGAGATCGTGCTGAGGGGACGCGAGCACAGCGCTGTCCGCCTCTGAGAACCAGAACGCGCCTCTTCTTCAAAGTAGGGGCGCATAGTGCACAGAGGGGTTTCACCCCGCGGTGGGAGGTGCAAAGTGGCCCGGCGGGCGCTCGCCTCTTACCACGAACTCCTCCAGAGTCTGGTAGGTCTTGCCCCGGAATTCGCAGTAGTTCTTCCTCTCCTTGCACTGCGGGCAGCACTGGCTCGTGTCGACGTGGATGCAGCGCGGGTGCAGCCGCGGGCACTCGGGCTGCGCGCACAGCGGCCCCTCCTCGGTGCACAGGCACGGGCAGGCCGAGGGGCCCGGCGCGAACTTCTCCCCGATGGCGTACACGAAGCCGCTCTCGTCCACGCAGCCCTTGCCGCGGTAGTCCGGGTACGCGTACTCCTCGGGCGGTTCGGGCGTGGGCACGAGGTCCGGGCCGGTCGCGTCCTGGGCGGCGGCCGGGGGCTCCCCCTGCGGGGTGTCCCCGCGGGGCCGGCCCTGCAGGTCCCCGGCCTTGGCGCCCCCGCCCTGGGCGGCCCAGGCCTGTTTCTGCTTGCTCCACGCCTCCCGGCCGGCGAGCCCCCGGCCGCCCTTGCTCTTCCAGTCCCGGCCGCTGCCGCCCTCGTCCCTCGCGGGGCGCCCGAGCTCGCTCACCCGCCCCGGGCCGTCCCGAGACGCGTGCTCGCGCTTTTCCTGGCCCGGCTGCTCCGGCGCCTGGGCCAGCTTCTCCAGCGGGATGCTCGGACTGCACAGAGCCACCATCAGGCAGCAGGTGACCAGGAGGGAACTGGACAGCGCGCCAACTGCCATCGCAGTGGAGCTGGGCATCCCCTACCACGTCCCGGCGGGCGGGCGGGCGGGGAGCGCGGCCGAGGGGCGAGTCGCATTCACAGCCCGGGGGCGCGCCGCCGCCAGCCGGGAGCCGCCGTCCCTGCGGAGAGAACAGCAGCACAGCTGAGCCCCGCGGCCCGCGCGCGCCCGGCCCCCACCCGGCCCCGCGCCGCCCGGCCCCGGCAGCGCTCTAGATTAACGAGCCGCACGACGCGGGCGGGGGCAGCATGCCCAGCGCCGGTGCCCAGCCGGCTTCTGAGACCTCGCAGATGGTGGAGACGGACGTGGAAGCGAAGTCCGGGAGAAACACCGGCCGGCCGCGTTCCTCCGGTGGCCGCGATTTAGCGGTGGGGACGGCCCTGGGCGGGTGGCGGAGCCGGAGCTGCGGGAACGCAGCGAGCCGGGCCCGCGCCCCCGTGCTAAACTCGGATAGAGCCACATAATCCGGGAGCCCGGGATGTGCCCCCCTGGGTGCTAGCCACACTTTCCCAGAGGTTACTAAATGGAGAATTCCGCAGTGGAGTTGGACACGGAAGACCGTACAGGAAGACTGGAGGGAAACCCTCCCCGGCTTGCCTTAGGGCGTTTGGGGAAAGGGGCGGGAGGGGGTTAACGAAGCTCCCAGGACCCCGTGATTCATCTCCAACAACTTTTTTAAATGCCTCGAGCGCAGGGAGCAGACGTCGCTTCCCCGCCCTCCTCCCCAGGCCCCGAGGCACGGAAGGATGTCCCCGGCCAGCCCCGGCGGCAGGGTCGGGGGTTCCGGAGGCTTCGGCTCTTCCACCGTCCCGTCCCCCCGCCCCCCAACCCCCGTGCCCAGCCAGCCGCTCGGCGACCGGGAACGTTGATGAGACACCCCCGCGCGGGCCGCAACGCTGGGCTCGTAATCGCTTTCACCCAGGAGGGGGTCGTAAGGGTGGAGCAGAAGTGCCCAGGTAGCACCGAGGTGTGCGGTGGGGGAGGCTGGGGATGCAGGGCGGGGGCGAGTCCCTCTCACTCTCCCCATCTCCAAAAGCCTCTCTGGATCCCAAAGTTTCTGCCGCCCAAAGGGGCCAAGAGAACCCTAGACGCCGCAGGGTGCGGGCAACCCAGCCTCTCTCCCCCTCGCCCTCCACCCTACCTCCCCCATCCGGCGCGTTCCAGGGGGTCTTCACACCCCCCAACCGGGTGCAAATCCCCTCCCCCCCCCCCAGTAGAGCTGGGACAACCGTGCCCTGTGCTCACTTCCAGCCCCGGCCCGATGGACCTCAGCCCGGGGCTAGCAACCCACCCATATTTACAAACTCAGGGTCGGGGTCGGGGTCGGAGAAAGGTTCTCCCGAACAGTGAGAAGGTGGAACGGTGCCCCGGGCGCGTCCCAGCGCGCTGGGTGCGGACACCCCACATGCACCCTCAGCCCTGGGGACGGGCGCCCAGCCTACATACATGAGCGCGGGGCGCGGGCCGGACGCCGGGCTCGCGGCGGGCTCGGGGGCAGCAGCGGCGGGCGCGGTCCCGGGGCGCCGGCGCCCATCCTCCGGCCGGCGGGGGACCGGCGCGGGGCGCACCGCGGCCAGCGCAGCCCCACCTGCGCGCTCCGCCCGGCGCGTGCACCCGGCTAGGGCGTCTCCGCGGGCTGGCTCAGCGCGCTGCCCGGCTCGCGTCAGTGCCCGCGCCGCCCTCCGCCGCTCCGCCCCGGGTCTCGTCCCCGCGTCTCCGCCGCGAAGCGCACCCGGGGGGCCGCCCGGCTTGGCCTCGCTTTCTCCACCCCGCGGGCTCGGGGAGATCTCCGCGCCAAGCAAACCGGATGCCGGGCCGCCGCGGCGCGTCGGAGGGAGAGGAGACGCCCGGGTCGCGGCGGGCGGGTGGCACCGAGGCCGGCGTGGGAGCCCGCGCGCCCGCCTCCCGCCTCCTCCCGCCCCGCGCGCTCCCCGCTCCCTCCTCTGCGGCCCCCGCTCTCTCGCGAGGCGTCGCTACGGCGGCCGGCGCTGCGGGGAGTTGGGGACCTCTAGCCCTCTCGCCGCCCTGCCCGGCCGCGACACCCACCTGTCAGTCCCCCCGCGCGGCCGCCTGCCCGCCCCGGCTGCCGGGCTCCTGCCTTGTCACTCACGCTCCACTGGACCTTTCATCCGCGCCTCCTCTTTCCTTTACTCTTCTCTTTAATTTCTTCCTTCCTAATTGGTCCCCTCTGGCTTTCCTAGGAACCCCGTGGACGGCTGGGTTTGGCCGCCGTTGAAAAACCTGAACCAAACCGTGTTCAGTTTGGAATTCCAAGGCCGCGTTGGCTCAGCAGACTGTTGGGAGTTAGTTTCCTCTTTACGGTCAGAAACCCAGAGGTACAGAGGGAGAAACTCATAAAAATCCGGACAGCGTACTTTCAGAATCTCTGCCAATCTCTCTCCGAGTCGCTCAGTCTCCCTTTTCCTGCCCGCTCTCTTTTCGGCCACAAAGAGGAACATTTCGGATTAATTTTGTAAGGATGCTAAACTGTTAAGCAGAGCCCTGTGTTGTGCCGACTGGGATTCACCCTTTGATCTTGGTCAGTGGATGTGCTACTTTCCTTGGATAAAGGAAAAAAGGTACCTGTTCACATTAACTCCCAAAATGGAATTTTTATAGGCATGTGCGTTCCCGGGGCAGTGTCATCCGAGAATCACTGAAAATGCTGGAGCGAAACACCACCTCTTCCCCACAATCAGTCTCTGGGCTGGGGGACTGGGGAGCGCAGGAGGACTTTAAGACAAATTCCTGTTCTCCCCCACCTCTGTTATTTATTTATTTATTTATTTACTTTTTCTTTTTTCTTTTTTCTTTTCTTTTCTTTTTTTTTTTTAAGTGGGCTGCAGGTAGAGCCTGGAGCCCAACCAGGGCTTGAACTCAGGACCCTGAGATCAAGACCTGAGCTGAGATCAAGACTGCGATGCTCAATCAATAGAACCACCCAGGTGCCCCTCCCCCACCTCTTATCCTGGACAAAGGAGATGGACCTGTGGTTCTAGAAAGGACAAAGCGGTCACAGGAAGAAGGGAGAAGCTTATCCACACACACACAAAATACACAAACCAAACAAAAAACAAATCCAAAAAAGAAAAACCACAAAAAATAAAAAATCCCAAGGCTGGGTAGAGGGTCTCTATGTCCCAAATGGTTTGAGCCTTTCTGCCTTTGAGTCCCTACTGTCTCTTCTTCCTGTCACCTCCCCTCACCTCAAGAGGCAGGTCACATGTGCCAGTGGAATGTAGCAGCCTGGCCACCCAGGCTAAGTCTTCTGGCCCCGTTAAATATCACATTTGTTTTGCCAAGTGCCGTCATGTCGTGGCATTGGGAGTAACCCCAAGCGCATGTGACTAATAATAAAACCCTAGTGATAGGTGCACAAGCTTGTACTTCTAGCTGAAAAATTGGTTGGGGGTCTGATTGAGGGAATCGTGACGTCTCCGTATCGATCCCACCTCAATCACAGTTCCTATTGAATCAGAAAGCCTTTGTCCCAGCCTGCTGGTCACAGTGGAGAGCCATGATTATGAGACAGTGGGGCTCGCAGGAAGAAGCCTGACAAAATTAGGAGCTAATTGTGCGGCCCAGCATCCAAACCACTTTCTGTCAGATGCTCTCTGGTGGTGGGATGAAATGAAGGGGAAAAGCAGTTTTAGAAGGATTTCTGTCCTTCTGAATAACAATACCCATGCAGCCTTGATTAGCTGAGAAATTCAAGGAAATATTGGGACTTTGCAGGCATCAGAAGAATTTACAATTTATTGCATTCACAATAATGATCCTTCCTTCCTTCCTTCCTTTTTTTTTTTCCCCATTCTTTCTTTTTCCTTCCTGTCTTCCTCTCCTTCTGTTATTTGTCTACTGTCTCCTCAGGCTACAGATAAAGAGCAGAAAGATTTCCAGGCAGGGAGTGAGGGGACATGGGTGTCATCTGGGCTCCACCAAGGGTAGATTGGGGGACCTGGGATGAGTCACTGGGTGTCTCAGGAGCTCTGTTTTCTCATTGAGAGAAGAAAAAGGAAAGAAAATCTCCAAATGGATAGGAAGCCCAAAATGCCCTGGCGCTGTGGCCTGTTTCTGCCCCCTTGTCTGTGTGAACCCAGTCTGTTCCGTCCATGTTTCCTTCTGGGCGCCGGAGTTTAAACCCACCAGCCAAAGCAGCACCTCGCTCAGCAGTGAGTCTGAGAGTCAGTGCCCATCCCTAGCAGTGGACAGAGGAGGCTGATTCCAGGCCAAGGTCCAGGTTGACTCTTCAGTCCTCTCTTCTATTTTAAGAAAGACTATGACAGAGTTTTATATGCTTGTAACGAATCTGACCTTCCTCACCCAGCAAGACTCGGTTTATGTCTCTGTGATAGTCAGGTGACTTTCTCCGAGCTCCTGGGTAGCTGCACCCACCTCCAAAACAGGGGCCCCCATGATGGGCAGGAGCTGCACGTGATTCATCTTTGGGAGCAAGGGAAGAAAACACTTTGAGAAACACACTCGTCCCTCACACAATGCTGGGCACGGTCAGATGCATCTCATCCACTCCCATACCATACTCCCAAGTCTTGGGGGCACCATTACTGTCTTCCATTTTGCCAGTGGGAAACCATACCTCAACGAGGTGGCGAGTTCACTAAGGTCACGGCTAATAGGGTAAGAGCCCAGTTGACACTGAAACCTCAGAGCCTTGTCCTGGGGCAGCAAGACGGGTGGTCTCCAGGGGGGAGGTGCTCCATCAGGCACTTATTGTACTTAACATATCGCTTCTCCCAGCCCCCCTATTCAGCCACTCCCACGGACTGCACACACTGGGCCCTGCACCCCCCGGGGAACAGAGAAGCCCTGGGACATGCAAGGGACAAGACTAGGCTGTGAGCCCTAGAGGTCAGTTCCTGGCACTCTCGCGTGGGTGCACCTGTTGGAAACTATGACAAGAGCTCAGTTGACCTTTGCCGAGGAATGAGGGAGTAAATCGATAGGTGCGTAACTGAGGAAGGAAAACTTGATAAAGAGCCTCTCAGACCTAGAGGAGGAATGAGGAAAAAGGAAAAGGAAAAACTGCACAAACGAAAAGCTGTCAATCTTCACCGTTCGGGGTTAGGAGGAGTAAAAGCCACTTCCATCCGAAATCTAGGGTGAGCAGGACTTTTGGGGTCCAGACAGAAAGTGGACTACTAATTCAACCTGATGAGTGGGAGAAGCCACCTTTGGCACTCTGCTGGCTCTCTGTGGATGTGCCCAGAGCAAGCCTGGCTGTTCAGGGAGCCAATAATTAAAGTTCCCGCTCTGGATTGGGCTAGTAGACAGCAGAGGCAACAGTTCCATTCCTGCTTACCCTTTGATACATGCCTGGGGTGGAGAGTTACCGCTCCCCGGGCCAGCCTCCTGCCCCAGCTGCCTGATTACGCCGCACTTTGGAGCCTCATCCCTTCTGCTGTTATGCCAAAAGTCAGCAGGATCCGTTCAGATCATCGAGTGGATGACTCACAGATACTCTCCTCAAATCAGAGGCAAAACGGCGTTCCTTGGAAGGAGGTTTGCAGGGATCTGTTGTTAATATAATATAAAGTCAACCACCTCATTAACATCACGGACCACATACACGCTGACCAATAAGAAAGTTTCAGAAGGAATCATTCGGAGACAGGGGCCCATCAGAGTGTATTGGCCTGAGGCGTAAGTGAGGTGAGGGGTGTGGGATTCTGCTGCCACATTTTGCGGGCACTTTCCGAGCCCCAGGTGGAGAGGGCCTGCGTGCACCAGGCAGTGGTGAAAAGCATTCAGCTGCATAGCTTCAGGTTTTCTCCTTCCTCTAGACAGTTCCAGAGGAGGAAGTCTATGGCAGTTGCTGGGTGCCACAGGTACTCAGGGCAGGATTTCCTTGGGGTTGGTAAAGAGAATCTGGAATCCACTCTGGGGCACTTCTGATACAGGATGTGTTTTCTCGTGACTGCTTCTCTGGCCCGTGGTCTTCCCCGGAGTCAGGCACCAGGCCCAGCTATGGCACAACCAGAGACCTAGCATTATCTATACTCTGCTCCCAGGGCCCCCAAAGTGGGCCGTGCAGGGCATGCCTTGCTGGGCTGAGCACGGCAAATCACAGTGTGAGGGGAAGGGTATGTCCAGGTGGATTGAGAACATAAATGGTTGGTACACGTGTCTTTGGTGGAGAGTCAGGCAACGTGTCTTCCGGGGATGACTTCTCTCTCAGTCCCCAAGCTGGCTGGCTTCTGGAACCTTCCATGGTATACCAAGAGGACTTTGAAATAGCCTGGGGCATCTCGATGTTCTCCGCGATGTCATCAGCTACTCTAGTGATGGAGATCTGGGGATGGGGAGCTACAGGAGTGGGTTCTGGAAATGGTCAGGCATGGACACTGCTTGGGGCTCAGACGCAGGGCTGGGCTTCAGACATGAGCGAGTGCTCCAATGAGAATCGTGGGCCCATTGTCACGAGGAGTTGCTTCCCTGCCCCAAACTGCTTCTGCATAGAAACTGAACATGGGAAAAAAAAAAAAAAAAGAAACTGAACATGGAACCGCCCGGGTATCTGGGACTAGTGTGGACATGAACGTGAGTGAGTCATAATAAATCTGTGGTCAAAGTGGAAGGGACAGGCTGTTCAGGACACAGTCATGGATCGGCACTTAAACCAGGAGAAACCAGGGACCCAAGGTAGTGAGGAAAGTGTGTAAGGGGTACAGGACCCTGCAATGATGCATTTCTATGCACAACTGAATGGGCTTCTCCTGCACACAGAGCCTTCCATGGAATCCACCTGTACCGGTCTCACCAGGCGGGGTGTGATCTGGGCCAGTAAGCCAGGCAGGGCTGACACCACCATATTGCTGGAGAAGCCTCCAGCAGCCTGTTGTCCCCCTCCCAAGTCTACACTCCTCAACATTTGGAA